ATGTAGACCGTGTAATTGGATACAGCCAATAATATATAATAACGATCGCTTTCGAATTGACAAGTTTATTAGACTTGATATGCAGACAACGGGGTGTGGCTAAGGTGGTGAGAGCTAAGAAGACGTTGTCAGCTGTAAAATCATTACTTAGTCATTGAAAATCGACATAATAATATTTCTTTGTCCGTCCATTCCATTTATTCGAACATAACCATGGCTTACATGTGACTACATACCTAATATTTAATTTTTCTAAAAATGTTGGCGTGCGCAATTTATTAGTATATATAATTTCAAAAGTAAATATTAGTTCTAAAACTTATATGCTATAAGTTAATAATTTTTACATCATTAATGTTATAACTGGTTTCAAATCATAGGTTTCCGAAAAAAAAAAATTTAAAAATTTGCGCTAAACTTTATGGATTAGACACTAAATTAAAATAAATATTTTAGGGTTTTAAGAAATCGTCTTCAAATTATCACTTTTAATTATTTTATATGGGGATATTATTGGTAGGTTAAGTTTCTATTTTATAATAGATCAATAGCCAATAGGTTACCTAAATCACATATTGTTATTTAAAACCCGGTAGTCAATTTTTTTACAAGTAGATACATAGGTAACTTATAATAATTCATATTGTATTTTAATTAGGTACCAAAAAAATATAACTTCTCAAACACCGTGTCTAGGGGCACTAGCGGGAGAATGTATTAGAATGTGAATGTCCATAAACTTGCGGACCTGCAATCTGTGTAGTTAAATTTGGCATGCGTACTATAACAGAAATCGAAAACTAGAATAAGTACATTGCAGATCACAAAGATTTCTGTAAATGAACATACGATTTACCAATAGACCGTATTATAGGACATAGGTACTGAGCTCGATGTAGGTAAAACGGTGTAGTCACTAGTCACTATCAATTAATTTTATTAATATATGTATTAATAATTTATTAATTTATTTTATTAATATATGTACGTATGAGAAATAAGTGAGTACCGTTTTTACGTCAGTATAGTTACACAATTGTCCACCAGGAAGCGCTAAGAAGGCCGGTTTCGGAAATATTTTATAAGCAATAATATGGTGAATTTCAGTATATTTTTTTGAATAATAAGCATATTATTAACATATTGATGAACATTGTTTATTTATATTTTATTATTCTATAGGTAGTAACACAGTACCACACTACCTATAGTAGAAATATAACCATCCACACCTACCTAAAACTATATATTATAGTAAAACTTATTATTATTTTTAAACATTTTTCATATTGTGCTAATAAATATGCCCAACAAATGTTTTGTTCCCGCATGCAAGTCTGGTTACTTAAGTAATACTAAAATATTAAAATCAGCAGGGAAAAATGTACCATCCATGTTCCATCCACCACAAGTAATATAGATAGTTATTGTTTTGTTTTAAATTATAATAATATTTTGTATACTTAATTATGTACTGTAACATACCTCTAACAAAACTTAACATGTTGACCACCGAGAGGAAGCCTGCGTCCACAAATTTTTTTATTATTCTACTGATCTTTATATAACATTTTTTTTTAAGACAAAAGAAAACTATACAATACATATAAGTAGATATATAACTTAATAATTAAATAATTAAATATACAATTAATTATACAAAAAACCAATAATAAAGAACAGTCTGATTTTTAATACAAATTTAATGTTTGCATTATGTCATTTAAATCAAAATGTTCTCTAGGGTTCTTACATTCTAAGTTATCTCTTAGAGACTTTATATTTTTAATAAGAATAACAAATACAATGTTTGAATATGTAGTCTAAATTATTTATTTATTAATAATCAACAGACATACGCCCTTTAACAAGAAAAAAAACATTACATAATAATTGACACATATTAAACTAATAACAAAGGGATAAATAAAAATATAACTAGAAAGACAAAAAAAAAAAATAATAATAATAACAAAAACAAAATAAATATATAAAAAGCTACATAACAACTAATATAGGTATTCTGGTATAAACATGAAAGTAGTAAAATTATTTATCTTGCAGGACTTACTATCTGTATGGAATAATAAAATACAGCGGAAAGATAGGAACTTATCCATAAAAGATGTAGTTTGCGGTTTAGATTTTAAAGAAGATGATTTTTTAAAATAGGAGTGTAAAATGCCTGATGGGTCAATTAAATACATTGAACGAATACGTCCGGCATTGAGAGAAAATGCTATTCCGACAATATTTTTAGGCTTACCAGAACGATTTTCAAATGTAGGGACAAAAAGACCGACACCAAAAAACAGGCAAGAAATAAAAAAAAAGGTTTGTAATGCATCAACAAGTGACCTAGATGAAATTAAAATAGTACAAGAACAAAATTCACCGAATGAGTAAGACACTACTTGTACTTAATGATACTACTACATAAATTTATTAATTATATCAATAATATAAAATGTTATTTAATTATATTTTGGGGTTTCTTATATTTTCAGAATTTTTGAATTGAAGGAATCTTTTTCAATAGCTTATCTTCACAAAATTGTAAAAAATATAATACTTCCAGGGAATATGTGGGGACTACATTTGATTCCATTAGAAAAAATAGCATTTGTTCACATAAATGATCAACTAAAAACTGATAAAACTGTGGTTTTTACTGATTCATGTTTACCAAGTGTAGTCATTATTGATAAACAAATTGAAGTTAATGAAATAAAAAGTGAAAACGATTTGCAACTATTACTTCAAAATGTAGATAGCTTTAAAATATGTAAAGGAGTTAATAATTGTCGCCAATCAAATCAATTGTGTGTTCGTTTCTTTGATCCTTCATAAACTTCTTCGAGAATTGTAAGATGTTCTAACTGTGCATCAGAAAGAAGAAAACTGCAAAAAGTAAAATCCACAAATTTAACACCAGCTAAAAAACTTCAACGACTAACAAGAAAGTTAAAAACTAAACATCAACAAAAAACTAGAATTAAGAATAATGTAAGTTAACTATTTTTGATAATAGATTTAAAAAAATATTTCCTATTTTATTAATTATACATATTATAAAAAATATCAAATATGTAAGTAAAATAATGACTTATATACTAGGTAATTTTGCTAAATTACATTTACAATATTGATATTCTAATTTTAAAACTATTTATAATGAACAATCCAGTTTTATACAAATTCATAATTATGTCTATTATAATTAAAATGTTAAAGACTATTATCAACTGTCGGTATTTTATAATGTATTAACTTTATATCTGTTTCAAATATATAGTTGGTTACATTGAAGCAGAAATTATGGACAATGCAAAAAGAGTGCAGCCTTGTTTCTAAGGATATGTTGAATGATTGCATACTGGATCTGCCAATTGAGCAACAAGAAATGGTTAAAACAATTTTTAATGCAGCAAAATGTAAAAGCTCTAAAGGAAGAAGATATAGTCTAGAATGGGTATATGAATGCTTGTTAATGCGTATCAAGGGACCAAAATTATACAGAAAAATGAGAAAAGAAAATAAACTTGGAAGGTATATCAAAAAATTGCACACTGCTTATGGATTCCAAGAAAACACATTTCAAGTCATGAAAGAGAAAGCTCAAGACTTTAGTTTGGCAAAAGACATGGTAATTGAAAGATATTTATATATATATTTTTTAATATTTTCATATAGGTATAGAAAAAAATGTAAAAAATAAATTTAATATTTAGGTTGTTTACTTCTGGATGAAATGCAATTAGAATCAGCTGTACAATTTCAACGCGATAGTTTACAGTTTCATGGTTTTGTTGACCTTGGTGCCCATACTTCAAACAAAGATTTGACAAAAAGAGGTGATCATGCATTTGTACTGATGTATCAACCATTCCGTGGCAACTGGGTACAACCGTTTGTAGCATTTCTTGGTGCAGGCACTGTGAATGGAAAAAATTCTAGAAAAAATTGTTTTAGAAGCAATTATTCTTCTAGAAAATAGTGGTTACTTTGTAGATTTTATCACAACAGATGGTGCTACTTGGAATAGAGCAATGTGGAACCGATTTGGAATTTCAGAATCCTCAACATCATGTATGCATCCTATTGATTCAGGTAGAAAACTCTGGTTTGGTTCAGATTTCCCACATCTGATTAAATGTCTATGGCACAGACTAATATCTAGAAAAGTTCTTGAAGTAAGGCATAGTTTAAATCAAACACATTAAATTAATAATTTGATATATACATACATATTTCACTAACAATTATTCTAAATCTTCTTATACCTCCTAATTTAACTAGTTACCTGAAGGTACAGTGCGTCTCGATCATTGGAGGGCTGTTGTAGAACAAAATGAGAAGTATAGCATTAAGGTTTGTCATACCCTCAAAAATGACCATATAAATCCAAGCAACTATAAAAAATGAATGTTAAAATGGCTATGCAGGTATGTATTAACTTGACCAATTTGCAGTACCTAATATCACTTCATTATTTTACTAAAAATTAATTTCAGTTTTTTGGACACTCTGTAGCAGCTGCAATGGAACACTACAAAGAAAAAGGAATTGAATCATTAAAAAATTGTTTACCAACAATTATGTTTATAAAACGTATAAACAAACTTATAGATGCAATGAATTCACAGCAGCCATCTGATGGTTTAAAACCTGATCCGCTCTCTAATCATAATTCAGTAAAAATCTTTTGATATCTATAAAAAAAGAATTATATTTTTATGATGTACATATTTTTGTTTTTGTTTTTTTATATTTTATCAACTTAACAGACATTAACAAATTTTTTGGAATATTTAAAAAAAATTGATGAAATGGCAGCAACTAAAAAAGGATTGTATGACCCAACCTCAAAAAAAAGAAATTCTGTGTAGGCGCTGCAGATGAAATGACAGCATCGACGTACTTTGGATTATACGTTACAGTAAAAAAACACTTTGGAGCTGATTCAATATTTGTCGGAAAAATTGAATTATAAATACTTAATGACAAGACAATTAAACCAAGATGCTCTGGAAGTGTGTTTACCATAAAAATAAAATATAATTAATGATAATAAATGTAATAACTTTTAACTTTACATTTTTTAGCATTTTTTTGGACACATGAGAGGAGCCTGTGGATCCAACTCTCATCCAGATTTATTGTTGCTTGTTCAAGTTTATAGGCTTTTATCTGTGTACTCATTGGTTAAACCAATAAGTGGAAGTAATGTTACAGGAAGTGAATTACTATCAACCATAATTTCCTTAAAAGATTTGGTTGGTGAGGAACATAAGGAACGCAAAGAACATTTTGAGAACATTATTGATAATATTATAAACAATGCTTCTCCACTCATGGATATTGAAATTGAAGATAATACAGTAGAACTTCCATATAACGGTCATCAAAGGGACTTTAAATAATGACCGCTATTTAGAGGTGCCCGTCCTACAGAGGTAGGTTAACACTAGGATAACACTCGACGGGACCAAAAAAATTGACCGTTACATAGAAGTGACCTTCCTATAGAGGTGACCGTTAATGGGAGTTTTACTGTACTTTTAAAGAAATGATTGATGAATATGCTTTAACAGTATTTGCTGGATACATAGCAAGAAAAGTAAGAAAATCAAAACTAGCAAAGAACTGTCATGAAAGTTTTGAATCTCTATGTGACTCTAAAAATGAGAGTACATTAGAAAGAAATAGTTTCCTTGAACAGAAAAGTCACGGAGGACTTTTAAAGCCATCAAATGATCTGTATAACATTGTTCTGCAGGTAAATATAACAAATAATAAGTAATTTTTTAAATAATTTCATAAATCTACATTTAAAAATCAAACCTAACTGTTAACTAAATGAATATTTTCAGCTTGAACTTACTATTATACAAACAGTTAAATCAGAAAAGTTACATAAAAACATGGTCAACACAGTTTTAGATGAGCTTGAATCATCTAGTAACATTGTGAAGATAGGATGCTCTGACCATGTCCATAAAAAAGAATTTACAATAGCTGTAGTAACATTCTATTTAATTTGTAGGATGCATTTTATCAGCGCTGAAGCTCAAAAAGAAGTTGCTGAAAAAAAAAAAGCGAAAACAGCTTAATAAATTAGCAAAACTAGGTTAGTTATCTATTCAATAATTTTTATATTTTTTAAATTAAAGATTAAACAAAGAAAATACTAGTTGTACATAATATTATGTATCTACCCCCATATCTACAAGGTATCTGTATATCCAAAATAAGCCCTAAAAAGCGACGAGTGCCGTAAGACGAGTTATCACTATACATACTATACAACATAACTTTATTTGTCTGAATACAGTGTGTTTAAGGATTATAATAAACTGAAAACTTAGATTAGGTAAATTAGCCATTTACATTGGTGCCATCGTTTGTAAAACGTTGATTTATCTATGTTTCAAAAAAAATTGACTTGTTAGGTCATCCGTCTGCCCGAAGGGCAGGTATGCTCTCCCCACGTGACCCCGAATTGTTCACCACCCATCCGCCACCCGACCCCGAATTGTTCGCCACCCATCCGCCACCCAAACAGGTTTCTATTTAAGCCACGGGGGGTTTAGGGGCCGAGCTGCCACCCAGCGAGAGGTCTGCAGGACCTCGAGCTTCTATAGACTTATGTTACTCTAACTGGCAACCGGAGCCGATAGGCGAAGGGAGTCACTATATACTTATGTAAACAGGTCAAGGAGTGAAAACACAAATTAACTATGCATACGGACTCGTAACTTTTTAAAAAAAAATATTGACGTCCTCCGAGGGGCATTATAGTAGTGTTGCGCACATGCATATAAACGTAAAATCGCAAACTTTGGAAGGCTATAACTTCCAAAATAATGGTTTCCGCATAAAAATTCAAACAGTTTTGAAATCAGCGTGGTAAAGTGCATTTGTTCCTTAACTAGCATAGTATTGATTGAAATTTGATGTTTAACCTTAAATCAATTTTATAATTTATTTACCTACAATCAAAGCAATAATTCTATAATACAGACAACTTGAATAACCATCACAAGAAATGGTCCCAATACTTGAAAAAATAAAGATATAATGGGTGCAGATATATCTGCATCCTTCACCCAAGTGAATATATGATAACATTGTACTATATAAGATAATATGATAAAAAAAACTGTTTACTTACTTCATAAAATCTGTCGTACATATATTATCAGAATTATTTTGAACACCTTTATTTAGTATAATAACATTTTCATCATTTATAGGTACCACTGCTAGAAATCTCATTCTTTTGCTCTTCATCATGTTGTACCTCAAAAAAACTACAAAAAAAATAAAATTATATTAATAAAATACTATAATAAGTAAACAATTATAAACATATTATGGTACACACCTTTGCGAACAAGAAAGTGTGTCTGGATGGTATACTAACTTGTGTTTATTTACATGATGCAACCATTGTCTTACTTTAGAGTTTGACTCTATTCAGTCAGGCTGCATGCCATAGGGACGTAATGGCAAATAAGATGAATCCTTTGGTAAATTACTTGTACTGCTTTTAACAGTGCCTAATGTATTATATTTTTTAGATAAATTGATCAACTTCGCTGACTGGTTTCTTCTATGCCGGGCCTCCATACCAATTAACCAAAAAAATAGTCCTTGAACAACAATAAAACGAACGACGTAACATTAAGCAATGATATATTGACTTGGATATATTAGATTAATAGAAATATGTATCAATATTAGATATAATCATTACATACTTGACTAAGACTGTGGAAGGTGGAAGTATTCTTGTAAATATATTTTTAATTACAGACTGTCTAAATAACTGAAGTAATAACCAGTAACCACGCTATTACGCTAATAAGTATTAACTAAAGTAATAACTAATAAGTAGGTAATATCATGACAAATTAAAATTTAATTTGTCATGGGTAATATCACATTATCACATCAACAAAACATTAAAACAAAATAATATTCAAATCACGGACTAAGATATACAGGACTGGACACGAGATGAATATTGTGGTTACGAAATGTTTTACAACAGGCGGAGTTCGGGGGGATATTTTCCTTTTAGCATTACTAGCGCCGTCCTAGTGGATACTTATGGAACTAGAACACATCTTACAAATTTCTAGTTCCATAAGTATCCACTAAGACGGCGCTAGTAATGCTAAAAGGAAAATATCCCCCCGAACACTGCCTGTTGTAAAACATTTCGTAGTCAACCCCCCCACACCCTCCAACCTTGTCGTGTCCAGTCCTGTATATCTTAGTCCGTGATTCAAATTTATTAACCAGACAGTAAATAAAAACCAGACAGTAAATAAAAACGGTTTATATCACTAGAAAAAAAAACGGTTTATATCACTAGAAAAACGGTTTATATCACTTTCATGGATGAAAATATCATATCAGTTTGGCTTGGAATAAACAACAATTAACATTATCGCAGGCCGCTGAATTTAAAAATATTTAATATTTATAATATATACAAATACAATTCCACAACTGACCATTGCCGTACCTGGGGGGGTAATATCTTATTTTCAACCAAATATCAAAACATATAAATTCAATAAAATTACAATATACATGTTATGGACCCACCTCCGAAAAAAATTTCTGGATGTGGCCTTGCAACTGAATATAATATAATGACATAAATTTCCAATCATATTGTGTACTACTTTACTTAGTATATTTATTAGGCAGTGGTAATGTGGTATTTAGATTATGTCGATTATGTTTTATGAGTCTTAGGGCCGTTCTTACGACGTCCGGTTAAAGTTAACCGACACTTAACCGGAAGAATTCTGCCGGTAATAAAATCTGTTATCAGTCGGTTAGCGTTAACCGACACTTTACCGGACATTGTAAGAACGGCCCTTAACATAGTAACTGGTAAGACAAAAAGTAATAACATATTAAACTATATACTTATGTATTATTTATGTGTTTAGGTAGTTTCAGGTAAGCATTATATAAGATTGTTAATTTATTATTCATTATTATTCTCTTAGGCTCTACGCCATACATGTCGGCTTATTGAACTTAAATAAACAATCTTACATATACAATTCATTATTTGAATAATTAAATATGGAAATAAATCATTATACGTTATTGTTTATGTTCAATGTCATTAAAATTGAAATATTTATCTCGTATAAATATAACTGAAGTTATATTGCTAAATTCAAAACAAATTACTACCAATCATACCAATATAATAAATGCATATTTAATATACGCATACAATTAATAGTGCTTTATGATAGACAACTCTGACTATATTATGTACTAATGAACTGTATAACACTATCGGTTAATTTTCTTCACAGCCCCCGTTTACTTAAGTGTAATTTATATTTTTACACTAACCATGATCAACATCTCAAAAAAGTAATAATATTCTAGTACCAATAATATAAATAATAATGTATATAACATTTTATGTA